AAAAACCTTAAGCACTGTAATAATCCTTAACAAAATAAGGGAGGAATATACCTTGTACAATTAAGCATGGTGTGCTGGGTAGGGTCTCTTCCTGGATATCAGCAGCTATTGCAGATGGCTAGGGAACAAACAAACAAAAAAAACAAAAAAAAAAAAAAAGTGTATAAACATGACAAAATTTATAGCCAACAAATAACAGTTACAAATCTATTATTATTTTATTATTATTCCATACAGTCTAGCTTTGAGAAAAAGAAAATGTCTTACACTGAACACTGAATAAAAAAAATGGCTAATGCTTTTAAAATATGTATGCTACACTGTCTAAAACAGTAAAAGGATGTTAGCCAGTCAACGGCATAACAACTCCCAATAGAGGTTCAGACCATCTATGGAATATTAGAATAATTTGGAATAGATAGTTTGTGTGGAGACTATATTACCAACACAACAGTACTGCACGAGCAATTTACAAAACAACAGTTTGAGAGAACGAGCCAAAGTGTGTGTGTGTGTGTGCGCGCGCAAGTTATACTCACATCAGCTTTAAGAAAGATGCCATTCTCATTAAAGTGGGCAAGTAGGCATAGGATAATGCAGATGGCCTTGCTGCCGTTCACTTCTTGAAAGGCATCCAAGACTTCACTCACAGCTTTTGTCTTGTGTTGTTCAAAATACTCGATTATAGTCTTGCTTCTTTGCTCAATGGCTGCTGGGAGCTTCTCCAGAATGGAAATACCGGTCAGTTCACTAAAGTGAGAGAACAGACCCTTCAGGGAAAACAGAAATGGCCAGTCATCCTTGATTTTGGATATGCTGAGTGGAGGATCAGCATTGAGATCGCAGCGCTGGAGCATGTAAGTATTTTCATGCCATCTCTGGAACTCTCCTTTCTCTGCTCCTGCCATTCCAAATTGGGCATAAAGTTGCAGCATTTGCCTTTTCATTTCTTGCAAGCTTTCTTCTGTCTCCCCAGCGGGAAGTTCTTTGGGCTGCCACCGCACACATCCATACTGGTCCATGGGACCTCTTTCCTGCCTCCTCATTCCTGAAATAGAGGGCCTTTTCTGTCGGAGCCGTGCCATGGTGTTATTTCTATTTAAATGCTCAATTCTAGTTTTGAGTTGCTGTAGAAGAGAAGCTGCAGCTACATTATTATCACCATCTACATCACCAAAGCATTGGGGGTATTTCCGAACTATATCATTGGCAACCTGCGCACAGATCCCTCTTTTAGGGTTTGCATTGTGCTCTCTCATCTGATCAACAACACTTCTGATCATC